AAGGCAGGGAGGCAGGGAGGCAGGGAGGCAGGGAGGCAGGAAGGCAGGCAGGAAGGCAGGAAGGCAGGCAGGCAGGAAGGAAGGAAGGAAGGAAGGAAGGAAGGAAGGAAGGAAGGAAGGAAGGAAGGCTCTACAGGGTGAGGAATGAAGGCCCTGCATCTGGTCTTCGTGCTGGTTAGGGTCCCCGCTGTGGCTGTGCCATGCCAAAGAGCATAGAATTCCATGGATTAATACACAATTGGGCCAGGTGGAAATGCCCATGTGTCTTCCTTGCAGGGGGCCAGTTTGACACTGCCTCTGGCAACCCTGAGGGTCTTTGCATCATGCTGCAGTGCTCTGGTGCAGGATCTGGAAACCCCTTTGAGGGAGAGTCTGATGGGCCTTGTCATCCCCTTGTGCTGTGGATAAGCTTTCCCCAAGTGAAGGGTGCCTCAGCTGGGCTCCAATGCTTCAAAGAATGGGCGTTCACTGTTTCTTTTACCAGAGGCTTTCCAACACACACCCAAAGCCCTTCTCCCACCCTTTTGTGTGAGGTCCTGTTAGAGCCTGGCAGCCCTCCCCGAAGGGATTAGGCTTGTGTTTTGTGAATGTCCCCATACCTGAGTTGTTACTTTATCTTATCTTCATCGGGGAATGGTCCAGGGCCTCCATTAGGAGGCCTATTCAAGGTGTGGTGGTATACTCTGTAGCTTTTGTAATACAGTCCTGCTATAACAGGCAGAAGTCTTTCATAAAAATGTTTAATTCATAAACTATAATATTTCAGTCCCTGAAAAGTGGGAGTACCAATAAAAAAGTACACAGAAAAATACTGGACCCAATTCAGTATTTTTTTTCCTTTTAATTGAGTCTTCTGAGAAGATAACATAAAAATACCCACATAAAAATTGCTAATGTAATAATGGCATATGATCTTTCCTTAATCTAACAATTAAATTAAATGTATTTATAAATGGTCTTATTAAATGTAAAGATGTTCTATGTATTAGACATAATAACAATTTTTTTTGTGTTTTGGAGAATAACCCATTTCTGCTAACATCAGACTTGAAGATACAGTTTCACCTTCTCTGTTTTGATTGTGTATTTTTCCAGCTCATCTTTTTGGGAAGGATCAACAGCTAAATGACACTATTATACACACTCAAACCCAAGACTGGAAAGGCTGAAATTTGAGCTCCAGGACTCCCTCCTACTTGCACTTTGCTTGCATAAAGTGAGGTGATTTGGGGGCTGTGAAGCCTAGTAATTCTCAGTGTGCCTAAATAAGGGCAGATCTTTCAAATCTGGTTGCCCTCCAAAAATGTAGTAAGACTGAAAAGCACATAAATTTAAGCAGAACGCTGTGGTGTTGAGCTGTGACCATGCTTTGGTTAAGAACATTAAAGATTCAAAAAAATACACCCACCAACTTTCAAAATTATGACTTGTGACACATTTGTCGTTTGTCAGGCTCACAGCATCAATCAAATCTTGCAGCCAGTGACTGGAGTAATTATCTCATCCAGTGCTGGGTTTAATTATTTTAAGAGACATTTTTAGGGCACTAAAGATGTAAAATCTTTTAAATCACAATGATTTGGAAACAAAAATATTCACTATTCAATGTCCTTAAGATTTTGTGTTTTCTGTTCATAACACATTGACTTACATCACCTGTCATGCTACAGTCACTGATTACTGATGAACACATACTTGACTCCATCATTACCACTTGGGCCAGAAGTCTTTCTCTCTTTCCCTTTACTTGTTCTTCCTCTTTCTGCCAGCTGTATACATTGTGTGAACACAGATTTTCGGTTCTCAGGAACTTCTGTTTTGTATATTGCCTGCTCCACTGATTTTTCTATCCATGAGTGGTCTCCATATTCTGATATTTGAGTGTAGTGTTTTGTATTTGACCAGGATTGCAGTGAGCATTTGATGGTAAATAGCATTATAATGTCATCTTGCACAAATGCTTCTAGCACCCTTCAAAAGGCATAAAGTCAATCTGTCCTACACAGCAAGCAAAAATAGCAACTGTCTACACTTTGTTTCTATTTAGTAAACATCAGAGTAGAAACTGTGTTTGGGTAAGGTGTATATGAAATAAAACTTTTAAAAAAGAGAATGATATAGCTGCAACTCCGTGTTATTGGAAACGGTGGAATATTTTACCTTATAAAGAGAAACCTTAAGCAGGAAGGAAGCAACAAGCTCCTTTTCTCATTTGCCAGAAAGAAGTGGCAATGTTTTCAGAGTCCAGAAGGTGAATTGTTTTTTATTCCCATCTCTTACTATATGAATATAAATTGAAGAGATTAAAAGGGATCTAATTTCAGCTTTTGAGATGGAAAGGGGGAAACACTGATGGATTACACCTCCTGTCCTCTGGATGGCATTTCTCTCTCTATTGGGGTGTGCTCCCACAATAATTATGTGGCTTTTCATTAAGATTACTGGGCTGTCACTGCAGTTAGTATTGACAAGATTGAGTGGGTAGTTTATCTGAACTCAGTACAGCGATGCACTGTGAGGTCTGACATAGCTGAATTTCAGATACCGAGACCAAACTCACAGACCAAACTAGTGGTGACTGACCAGAAAATCACCTCTTGGTGAAAAAAAGGAAATAAAAAGAGGTTAGCTGCAGCAAAATTCTGACTTGACTCAAGAATGGTCTTATTTGAATGTGTCAGAAGTGGCGCTCTAATGTGTGGGATTGGCTTGTCATGGATATCTAAACAGTGACTACCTCTTTGGTTAGGGTGGTTTTTCCCTTGAATAAACTTCAGCATTAATAAAGTGGGATTTAATGAGGCAGTGATAGCTTGTATTTATGATCCTTCCCATTCCTTCCTCTTTTGGATTTTGTACCCATTTGTCCATCTCATTTTTCTTCCCACTTACCCCAGTATGGGACAGAATTATTGGGACTTTACTCTTTTTCTGCATATTTTTCAGATTTCGGCCAGTTTATTTGGATTAAAGAAAATATAGCAATTTGGGTCTGTTATTATTTTAAGAGGAAAGTTTAATTACCTCTGTCCACTTATGTTTATTTTCCAAGCTTAATAGATCATATAATCTCAGGGAGAGTTATTTACATATCAGCACTAGTACTCTGATATACTTGTTTCTATCTACCTTGAAACCAGCAGCAGAGCAAATTTCATTTGATTGTATCACTCTGATTTCTAATGCCATTTGAGAGCTTGATTTCATCAGAGGATTAGGTAAGAACCTGGTTTAAACAACACAGTTCCATTTTGTACTTACCTGCTAACTAATCATATATTCTTAAAGAATCTTTATGCTAGCATTTTAAGTACACAACTTATTTTACGTAAGTCAGAGGCTACCTTGTGTACTAAAATTGCATTTTCTTAATAGTCATGTTCCCACAAATTGGCCATTTGGAAACATGGATGTAACATGGAAAACATTTTGCAACCTTAATACAGTGACTAGTGCCATCAGGAATGTAATAGACGCAGGGGTTTGGTTCCATTGTCCACCCTTGCTAGCACAAGACCTCATAAAGCCTCTTCAGAAGATTGGGTGGCTCAAATCTAGCTACTGTCTCACCCTGAATATTATCTGCAAACATATGAACAGTTAGGAGACCTTGTCTTTCACTTTTGCAAGGCCAAAGGAACCCAGTCTTTGTGCACCTGCCAAGGAAAACACACATAAGTGGCAATGATAAGGACAACAGAAAAGAAGCATTAATTACTTTGAGCAGCATTAGAGTAGAGGGCTCCTGCCGTGCTCACCAGTTACTTGTTCTTCACAGCTGCCTTCTCAGCCGGGGGCTCTAAATCAGCGCTGTCAGAAGAGACAGAAATGACCGTAATGTATTTCTTTATGGTGACAATTTTCTTCATAATGATAGAAAGGTAGTTCTCATGTAATACTCCAGATTTCTGTTTTCCAACTGAGTAGTTCTTATTTTTCCCTATCACTGCATAAATTCAGTCAACTGAGCTTGTCTTGACTCTGTTAGGAGTCTGATCTCTCTGAGCAGCTTTACAGAAAATGATAAATGCAGAGACACTCATTGCAAAACTGATGTGTTTTGTTTTTACTCGGAAATGTTTTCTACTTCCCTCCCCTCTTGCACAGCATGTATTTAAATTATGCTTGGTCAAATTCTCAGATGCCAGATGTAGGATGGGGGAGGGAAGCATCTCTGAAACTTATGTTAATCCAATGCCAGCTAGAAACTGTTTGGTCAGGGTAGATCTTAAGATTCTCTTCCCTGAGAGATCAAACAGAGACATAAGAGATAGAATTTGGTTTCAACAAATATTAAATATTTACAGAATAGCTCTTTCTGTCTTAAGAAGTTACCTATATTTTTTTCAGTCAATGCAGAAAAAAGAGTATTTCTAGGATCTATTAATGTTTCATCTGAACTTCAGCAATCTACCTATAATTAAATGAGTTATGCCTAATAAGTTCTTCTTTTTTGTCACTGACTACAATAGAAGGAGAGTTATTGGTGAGCTCAAATGTAAAGGTCTAGATTAGGTGACACAAATCTCTCCCGAGGCTCTATTTACTTGGATGTTCATCCTTGAAAGAGAAATCTGTAATTTAAACGGTGATATTTTTGCTCTTTGTATGAATATGGTGTGATGCACCTTCTTTTGCTAATTGGTAGATATTCATCTGGAGATAGAGCAGAACCTCCTCATAATGCCTTTTGTATGTGTTGGTGCTCTAAAAGTTAGTGAGGGATGGGACACTACTAAATAAACCCCCAGATTGTAGTGTAGGCTGATCACATGGAGTTTGGTGCTAAAGGTTGGTAGTGTAGTCACAGGTTTTGAGGACGTCTGGATATGTATATTTTAATTATACCTATTTTACATAATTGATATTGAGTTTTTCCTTGTAAATGCATCATTTACAAATTGACCACCATTTTCATTAGGTACCAGATTTTTTTCTTGTCTTTGACTTGTACTGGTTTTTCTTACATGCCTGCTCTTACATTGTGATGTGCACCTGACAATTATTTCAAAAAGATTTTGCCTATGTCTTTGGAAGATGCTTTTTGAGTCATCAAGGTCTCAGATTTTGCACAACATTGCTAGAAAAATACTTAACTACCAGGTCTTTTAGACACAATTGAGTACCTCATTAACACCTTTTCCAAAAACTGTAGTGAGGGTAACTCCTAGAATCTGTATTTTGGAAGAACTTCCTATCAACCTATGGTGTTTTAGCAAGTTAACTAATGATCCTTCCAGGAAAGGTCTCCATGACTCTTTCTTGTTAAGAGTGAAAAAGGATGAAAGTGTGTGTATCAGCAACATGTAAGAGGCAGTAACAAGGGCATTAATCTGAGCTTCAGGAGATCCTTGCTCCAGGATGAGTTTTCTATGTTACTGGATGTATCCTTTAGACTTGGATCTATCCAATATCTTTACTTTGGTAGACACTGGAAAATAACAGACAAAAATTGGTCCTGGTTTCACTTGGGATTTCCATTTCATTACATGACTGTCACACAGTCTGGTTTCTGATTTCTAGCCAAATCTTATGTAACTCTCCACACCTCGCTGAGATAGCTTGTGGAGCTAAGTGCAGCATAAACAGCTATTCTTATAGTTGTTGCAATTCATGGTGGGGAGGAGGGGAAAGTATATAAATCTTGTAAGGGACAATCTCTAGACACCAAACATACTCAGAAAAAGAAAACAAATCCAGTGACACTTTCAAGCCTTTTATAGCTTTATCTATTATGGTTCATATGTCAGTATTTTCACTCTGATGTTTTTTCCCCCATGGAGCTTGAACATATCATTTTATCTCACACCTCAGTTTTCCTTATAGGCTGCTTCATCTCTGCATTCAGAGCTCTTCAATTTTAGTCTGATTTAGGTGGATGAGAAGTGTCTCACTGTGTAAAGGAATGACATAGCCTGAGATTAAAATGCTCTGTTATGTGCCAGCAAAAAATTTCATCTGCTCAAGATGAAGGCCAGAAGTAGGAGAAAAGTCCTGACTGAATTGAGCTTACAGTGTCACGTAGGTATATACACGTGCCTGGTGTGAGGGGGCAGTACCCACAGCATTTCTGGCTGAGTCTCTGTAGTAGAGAAACAGTACAATAACTATATCTCTACTAGTAATTTTTTGTCAGGTGTCTCATCATTCGCTATACAGGAATACATTATTGCCATTATAAAGAAATTAGGAGTGGTCCTTCACTATAATAATACAGTGTTTCTGAAACCAAATCTGCTGCCAGACACTCCTGAGCATTTGCTGCTTTCATGTGTACTGCAGATGTCAAAGAGTGGGCTCAGAATTCCTGGTTTTCTCTGTGCATGGCTAAATTCAATCTGGAGATGCTGCAAAAAGAAATTATTTGGGATTGTGTTTGTAAGAGGTAGAAGCTGGCATGTGATGTGCAGCCAAACTGATCCAAATTCTTGTGCTGTGGCTGAATCCTCACACAGCAGGGTCTGATGAGAATATGAAACATTTTCAAATCTGTTGTATTTGAAAACTGTGGGGAAAGGGTGGAAGTTCACTTTAAATTAGAGTCGAGGGCGTGGAGAGAGAAAGCCTTGTGAAATGGTACAGAAAGTGTCAGGAGGAGAGAGCTCCAGCACCATGTGGAATCAGGAGAGCAACAAAACAGATCACGCTATCACCAAGAGGGAGGTCATAAGCCCCAGTAAAGAGGAGAGGGCACATCCCTGTTCCAGCCTGTGCTTGCTGGGAGGAGTCCTTTCCCCATCCCTGGGGCGGCTGCAGATCCAGCAGGACTGCGGGGAAGGAGCGCTGCTCCCTCCCACCCTACCTCGCCTCCTCCGCTGCATCTCCACTACTTCGGGGGTTTCGCGGGGCTGAGCTACCCAGATGCTGTTTATTTTGCAAAATGTGGAAGATAATTGCATTTCCGTATAAGTACACAGAGTGTGTGTGTGTGTGTGTAATATTTTAAGCTGTCTGGCACATTAATTTAGCCACCTGTCCTAGCCCCTTTCTGCTGCACAAATTAGATTGTCTCAAGGGAGCCTGTGCAGCTGATTGGGTCTGCCTCGTTACTAAGGCAACCCTTCTCCTCTCCGATATATGCTTTATAGCTCAGATTCACCAGGCAAAAAATGGAAGGGAAAAAAATGTGCTTCAGACCCTGGGGATACCAGTACTTAATAGATGCTCTTAGCAGACTTATTTATTCAGACAAGAACGCAGTTTCTAAATGTGGGAGAGTGGTGAAGCAAGTAAAGTCAAATATATATGAAGGGGATGATAAGGACCAAATTAAAGGCTTTTACAAATGCCGTATGAATCTTAAATTAGCTCTTCTGTGTGTAGTTGATGCAAAGGTATCATGACTGGATATATCAGCAGCTGTCCCTTTGAAGGTCATCCCTGAATAGAAAGAACAACAGAAATTCTTTATGCCAAAAAACCCACAAATGTAGGGGAGGAGTCCTTATGTCAGACTGGCTACAGCCCAAATGATGTTTTATGATCATTTTTCGGAACAAAATTTTTAGTTTGTTCCTGCTTCCTGCTTTTAGATGATCTGTATTGATTGAATACACCACAGATACAGTGTGCATTTTATGATGAAACAAGACATGATTTCATCTTTGGAGAAGGGCTTCTTAATCTCATTATTTTTTCAGCGACAAGTACAGGAACATGATAAGCACAATAAACATGATTATACTCAAGGATGGATAAGGGATTGAGGTAATTATATATGTAAATGAGAAAGAGGGATGGATCTTTGAGCTGTAAGTCCTAACCTTTCCTGTGAGGACTTGTGTTTGAAAGTATAAATTTGTTTTTGCATCGGCCCAGGCAATATGCAGTTATAGTCAATGATGTACCTGTTTATGTCTTCATCTTGTGGTCAGTCCATTAATTGTAGATAATTGCCTCTGTATTGTTATGCTGAGGGGATCAAGGGAAATGTTGTTTGGATATTCAAAAGTCTATGTGTAGATAGGATTGCAGTGAAGATACTCCAAGGGTGTAGATTTGCTTGTATAGATGGATTTAGATGCTTATATCTCAAGGAAAAGCTGATACATATAGCATTTCACAAAAAACAAAAAACAAAACAAAACAAAACAAACCCCCCCAAAAAAAACAACAACAAAAAAAAGAGATTATCAAGGAAATTCAGCAAGTTGTATTTTGGGGCTAAGGGCTTGTATTTTGCATCCTATTAAATAGCAAAAATCATAGAATCATAGAATGGCTTGGAAGAGACCTTAAAGATCGCTTTGTTCCAACTCCCCTGTCAGGGGCAGGGACACATTCTGCTAGACCAGAACCTGCTCCAACCTGGCCTTGAACAAATACAGGGACTGGACAGGCACAACTTCTCTGGACAACCTTGTTCCTGTGCCTCACCACTCTCAAAGTAAAGAATTTCTTCCTAATATCTAATCTAAACCCTCGCTATTTGTCATGTAAGGGCATGATTTGTACATGCCCTTGTAAAAATTTCTTTCCATCTTTCTTGTAGGTTCCCTTCAGGTATTGGAAGACCACATTTAGGTCATTCTGAAGTCTTCTCTTCCAGGCTGAACAATCCCAATTCATTCAGCTTTTCAAGAGAATCCGCAGCCTTTGAAATTCCACCCTCCATTGCCAGATCTTCTAGCATCACAGGCAACATCCAACTCAAAGTAGAAGACCTGACAAACCTCACTGCATTTGACTTGGTGAAGAGGAATGAAATTTCAGGAGTTGATATCCTGTAGGACACAGGATATGTACCTCCTCATGATTCCCTGGGATGCAAGCTAATATTTTTATTTAATTTGCAGTAATACAAGTGGTAC